CCGCAGGCCCTCGTCACCATGGCAACCACCAAGCCGTCTCGCTGTAGAGCCGGGGGCGCTGGGCACCCCTAGAGACGCCCCCACCGGCCCTGGAAGGGCGAAGGGCTGGCCACCCCCACCACCACCCCCCCGCAGGAGCCCGGCAGCCGGGCTTGCTGCTGTGCGGTGGGGAAGGATGAAACCAGGGAAAGTCTGACCTTTGTAGCTTAGACACTGGCTTCATTCTTACAGAACCTTGTCAGGTGGCTATTGTGTGGAGACCCTGGGGCCACACCGAATAGGAACAGGTCTCCCCCTGTGTAGGGCTTCCCCACGGAACGTCCCCCAGGCAGGCTCCGAGGGCCGTGGGGGGGCTCCTTGCCTGGCCACGTTTCTGACTTCCTTTGGCTTTTTAAAAATCAAGCCTGCACTTTTAATTGGGAAGAAACAAAAGGAGCTGCCTGTTCGGCTGGGAACCAGGCGAGCGCGGAGCCCAGCCCTCGGGGACGTGGGACGGCGCCGGGCGCCCCGCCGCTGCCCGCCCGCCCGGCTCTGCCCAGGCACCGGGTCCGCAGTCTCCGTGCTGCCTCCCCGCGTCCTCCCGCCTCCGGGGCTCCCTGTGTGCTCCGTGGCTGGGTGGGTGCAGTGGAGGCCCGGTGGGGAGACTCCAGGCCAGAAGCACCCTGTGGGCCTGAAACCGCCTCTGCACCCAGGTCTCAGCTGGAAGATGCCGGCCCCGGGGAGAGGGAAGAGGAGCCGGAGGCCGAGGCGGAGGCCGAGACGGAGCAGGAGCCGGGACAGGAGCTGGAGCCGGAGCTGGAGCCGGAGCAGGAGCCGGAGCTGGAGCAGGAGCTGGAGCTGGAGCCGGAGCAGGAGCCGGAGCTGGAGCTGGAGCCGGAGGCCGAGACGGAGCTGGAGCCGGAGCAGGAGCCGGAGCAGGAAGGCGACAGGGTAGCCCACGGGGGCCATTCTGGGCAGTATCGTTGGGTGAAGATCCAGTCACCTGACTGGGGCGCACGGTCCCCACAAAGAGGCGCCTGCCCTTCCCACACACTGGGGCTGCCCAGGAGCACCCCACGGCCAAGGCACTTGCCCTGACTTTTCGGGGTCACTTCCTATGGCGAGGGCGCAGGACACCGCACGCACACTCCCACCCGCAGAGCGGCGGCCTGAGCGCTGGCCGGTCCTCCGGCGTGGCCGGCCCCTCACACACTGCCCCGCCTCCCCACCCACGCGCTGCAGGGCCCGCCCCGCCCGCAGAGCCTGGAGCCCATCTACGAAGAGGCTGCCGGTGCTCCAGAACATTCCGAAGGGGAAATGGCCACCAGCGAGGAGCTCGGATGGGAAGGAGAATTCGAATCCGATCTGGAGGCCTTGTCCCCTGAGGGGAAAGTCAGCTCCGCGAATCTGAGTTACTCGGAAGCCAGCCCCGAGGCGCTGGGCCCCGGGGACCCCGGTCTCCCGGCCCTGGAGGAGGCCCCGCCACCAGCATCACCAGCGTCGGCAGAGGAGGTCACGGCTGCGCAGACCCTGCCGCAGGCCCCAGGCGCGCACGGGCCCTC